AATACCTAGCCACTAAATATGCTTTATCAGGTAAATCTTTTTGTTTTAATAACATCACCATTTTTAAGGTGATGATTTGATTCTCGTGTCCTGGAAAGAAACAGGTCTACCTGTGTGTGTCTGCCTAGCCTGAGAGGTCAACTATCAAAGACAGGTTTTTCTTTTGTTTCTTTTTTCAAGCTCTTTTGTGGCAGAGGATTTTGGGGTACCCCTGGGGAAGGAAGTCCAAGTGTTTTCTTCCTGCATTCAAGAGAAAGGGGTTTGTTGCACTTGGTGGTGACAGCTACCCCCCAAAGTCAGTATATCTGTGACTGGGGAGTTTTTGTAAGCAGAGCCTGTAGAGGCAAGGTATTTAAGGTCTCTTGCAGGCCCCCATCTTGTGCACTCAGAGTGCCAGATTGGGGAACAGCCCTGACAGAACTCTATTAGACAGCATTTCAAGAGCCATGGAGCCCTCAACATTAAAAGGGGCTTTCTGCACTTCTCAGATGTACAGGAAAACTAGCAAAAAACCCAAAAACCTCTTTTTCTGTTTCTTTGAGGTCTGTTCTGGCATGTTTTACTACTAGCAGTAACACACTAATGGGAAGCCAGATACCATGATGATGAGCATGGCATAATAAGATTAGATACAGAGAGAGGGTAGAAAATTTAGAGAAACAATCAGTATTATCATTACAGCTCAGCAAATTGCTTTTAATGAATCATTTATCTGATTAATTTAGTCTCTTTTTCTGCATGCTTGTGGTTATTATGCAGATTGCAAGTTTATAACTTATTTGTTATTTGGAAGTATTTTTGAGGTTTTATTTTAACTCTGTAGGTTAACAGTGAAGTTATCTGAATAGTCAAATTGAGCATCACATTTTGTTTGTTTTATTGGGGAGATGGGCTTATATGAAAGGAGTGTTAAAAGAATTTTTTCTCCTTTAAGAAATTTTCAGCTATTATAGGTGTCAAGTGCTCAGATTCATTAAGAGTAAATGATGAGCAAGTTAGAACCCGCTTTCAGGGAAATCTATCCTCTCATTTGAAGATTACATCTGAACATTAATATACATCTGTCTTCTTAAGTAGAGAAGGAACAAGTATTTGCTAATACATTTATACACATGTTAGAAAGGGGACGTACATATGTTTGACTTTGCAACAAAATTTGCAACAAAATTTGCAAAGAATATTTTGGAAAAGATTTACACCATGAAAGAGTCACAATATACTTTCAGTTTCTCTTTGCTTCAGGGAGCTCTAGCCATTTATCTGATGCAGATTACTTCTATCCAGCAATGATCCAGTCACATGGAAAATGAAATCTACAGTACTATGGCTCCTTTACAATTTAGGGTAGGGGTGAAGCAAGCATGCTTAGTGGGGTTGCTCCTCAAGAAGATGGTCAAGCAATAGTATGAAGTAAATGAAAATGAGACATGAAGGACTTATACACCATAAAAAACAGAGACATTCAAATACAAAAATCAAAAGGAACAGGAGGATACATTTTATATTCAAATTTCTAAGAGGATACAAAAAGCAGCGCAGAGAAAAACTTTATAAATTAAAGTCTATTAACAAATGCACTTAATATCCTCTTAAGTATATATTGAAATTATTACTGTCTATTTGCATAAAGGTTATGCAAGTTAAATGAGTACAGTATTATGAATTGGTCTCTTGAGGTAAGAAACAAGAAAAGATAACTATGGATCTAAGTGCATGAAAAGAAACAGATTCATCAATGGGAAAAATATCTGAAGAATAGGAGATTGATTTGTTTTCTCATGAGATCAGCACGTTCCATCCCTCTCTTACTAAGTGCTCCTCACACCACCTCATCTGTAGGTTTTTTCACATGTAAACGCTATCTATTATAAGTACAGTATTTTTTGAAAGGTATAGGAAAAACTGCTCAAATTTCCTTTTTTTAATATAGCAGCTAAAAATTACCCCTATGGTAAATGTATTGCTAAAGTAATTAAACCAAGTTATTGGATAGTACGGTAATATGAAGAAAGACTAAAACATTGGCATGTTGTTCATAGATTATACAATCACTAATTTTTATTTGCTAAAACCCAATTATTAATACTATTTCTACTGTACTGGGTATGTCTTATTTTAAGTCTGGGATATCCCTTTTACCTGCATCTACTTTGTATAGTATCAGCAAGCATATGAAGAAAGAGCAGACTGCAGCTACACATGCGAAAAACTGTACTGTAATAGTTTATGCAGGAACACCTATTAAAATGAATTTCTAGTCATATTTTACAAGTTAGACCTTATATTGTCTAATACATCAATATAAAAGATAAAGTTTATGCTTCATTAGCTAACCCACCACACCAACAGCTCCTTAATAATCCTAACAAGTACACTGGAAATCATAAAATATTGATGGCAATATAACATGCTGGCAGCTCCTAAATCCCATGACAAAGGGGTTAACATTTTACATATTGTTGTAAACATGGAGGCTTAGTTTCTTTTAAAAAAACAAAATTAAAGAATTGCTGCCTATGTTTTTCCTTAATCAACATGTAATCTACACTGCATTCTTAAAAACAAAAAAAACCCTGATCATCATGGATCATACAGCATATTAAGTGGGAAGCCTGGAGGAAGAAGGATGTCCCTTTGGGTATGTCTACACTACCCCGCTAGTTTGAACTAGCGGGGTAATGTAGGCATACCGCACTTGCAAATGAAGCCCGGGAAATTCAAATCCCGGGCTTCATTTGCAAGTGCAGTATGCCTACATTACCCTCCTAGTTCGAACTAGGAGGGTAATGTAGGCATACTGCACTTGCAAATGAAGCCCGGGAAATTCAAATCCCGGGCTTCATTTGCAAGTGCAGTATGCCTACATTACCCTCCTAGTTCGAACTAGGAGGGTAATGTAGGCATACTGCACTTGCAAATGAAGCCCGGGAAATTCAAATCCCGGGCTTCATTTGCAAGTGCAGTATGCCTACATTACCCTCCTAGTTCGAACTAGGAGGGTAGTATAGACATACCCTAAGTGAGACAGACAGACATGAAGAGATTTTGCAGTAATTTCAGAAAAGGCAGTGTGGGGATGTTGACCCATTCCCCTTAGTGGCCCATTACATACATACATGATGAACAGGGGACATCCTCTTTTACTTGGACCACTGCATTCTTTAAAAAAATTAATTTAATCATCCTGGGCGAAAAATAATGCAATTAAATGATGGTGTAAAAAAGCCAACTGGAAAAAACATGCCCAATCGTCAAGTCAAAAGTGAGTCCTTACTACTCCCACTAAGACTGAATAAAGCCTGCAAGACTGGGCTCAATATGTAAATTAGACAAGAACTCTGAACCACTGAACATTGGAAAAGCTAACTTTTTTCTGACATTGCTTGAAATAAACACAGCCAATTGCCTTTCTTTTAAAAGGATATTCAGTTATTTCCATCATATTTTGGGATTAATTTAAAAGTAAAAGCTTAGTTTTTGAGAGAAGCAAGTGTTATTTAAAAAACCCCTAAACTCCACCCAAAAAAATACTAATATACCCCTCCCTCCTAATAAATTAGATTATTAGAACTGCAATGGTCAGAAAGCCCCACAGTTCAATTTACCACTTTGTCCCAAAGTCCAATACTTGATACACAATGAAGGTCCAACTATGCAATGAAGTTGTAATGTCATAATTCACAATAATTGTAAAACCCTTGTAAAGTACACAGGAGAGTCTCTCTTTGGAGTGGGGATGAGGCTAATGGAAAGATTAGACAGTTCCCCAGGATTTGATGGCAGCTTGCCAAAAATGCCTGTGTAAATCAAAATCTCACGATGTAATAATGCATATAAGATAAGCAATATTGAGGATATATTCAATTCACTCCAATACCATGATGCTTCAGAGATGTATACTCAGAGTAAATATGTCAACAGCGATCATAATACTAAAGGGTGTAATTAATATGGAAGTGTGATTCCTTAGCTGGGGTGCAGCCTTAGTCTCAAGTTAAGCCATGCTATGTCCTCTGCATGATGAAATACTGTTCTTCTATGACACTTTACAGCACTAGTGCCTGCAAGTCAGGGATGGACAAAGCTAAGCTTGATTGTCATGACTCCAGCATGACTGAACAAATCTTGCTAATTCCTATTGTCTAAGGTAAAATTCTAACATCTCCTCTTGGCTGTAACCCTGGCGGTATACTACATCTGCCTGGCTGAGAATGGAAGGTAAGAAAACACACTTACGCCTTCACAAACATCCATCCACTATTTCCTCCAGTGCAGAGAACATATAGCAGTCACTTATTGAACACTAAGTTCTGCTTTCTCTATGTATACATATTTATTTAACTCAGAAGTGCTGCACAGTGGTCATATCTCAGAAAATGCACAGGTCTTGTTCTTGCACATTTCAATAATTAATCAGGCTGCTCCATAACTTTTCAGCTTTTCAATGTATCATTTGCCTTATTCACATTCATGAAGCTCCATCCACTATATTTGCTCATTTTAAGCAATATCTCTTCCCAGGATCATCACAGTGAAAATACTTCAGATGTAAAATCAAAAGGCTGACTTACGAAGAACTAGAAGTCAACTGAATTTTTGCTGCAGAGAGAGTTAAGACACAGCAAATGATATATATCAAATTTAAAATATATTTTAAAAATTAAACTAGATTTCCTGAAAGTAGATGGAAGGACCTTGTATCAGAGCAATCAAAAGCCAGATTGGTAATTGTATTCATACCTACTAAAATAAGCTCTTTATTTCATTTTATTATCTCCTGCTCTTTTCTTAAATTCTCAGGTTTTAATGAATTTGATTTATCCTAATTTTTGTAACCATACACAAACTAGGAATGGTCTGGGTTGTTGTTGTCAAGGGGGGGTTGTTTTTTGCAAAGGATCATTTTAAAATTTCAGTTCAATGATTAACATTAATATACTTCACATTTATGTTATTAACAATATTATAATAAATGATAAAAAGAAAGCATGGATTCTAACCACTTTGTCCTCCTTTGGGAAAGCATCCAAGGAAGCGGAGTAAAGACAAAAAAAGAAATAGGAAGAGAAAAAGAAAAAGTAGGCAAATATTAATAGACAGATTTCAAAGAAAGACAATTCTAGTAAGTAGTTTCTATAAAGAGTTAAAAACATAATTAAAATAAACAAAAATATAACATTTGTAAATAAAAATATCTATACTACTACATGCACAGAAAATATATATTCTAATATGGACCCATAGAAGCATGCCAAATTGTAGCAAAGAATGGAGAGGTCAAAAAAGAATGGAAATATTAACAATTAACGTGTCAGTTTTGCCCAGAGAAACCCTTTATAAATGTTTTAAGGGCACCTAATAGGGTCCCTGTTTCCATCACAAGCCTCTTGTTTTCAAGAGTCTTTAACACTTCCTTTCCTAGAAACATTGCAAGTCAACATACCAGACAAAGTCTTAATCCAGTCATGACATCTAGTGAGCGTTTTGTTTTATTTACTTATTTTAAATGAACTAGGAGAATTTGACCATTATAAAGTTGTTAGGACTGTCAGAAATTGCAAGTAGTACAAAACCAACAATCAGGTAAGCTATGAAACTGTTATCCTTTGACCCAGTTCCAATATGGTTAAAATCTATAGTGTGGAAAGGCCTTAAGCATGTTCCATAACTGGGCTAAAGCTCTAGCCATTTAGCCCAGTCATCTGGCCTAGTAAAAACATTAGGTCATGTGCACAGAACAAACTGTAACCATTTCATAACTGGGTAAGGGAGCAACTATATAACCAGATTCATGAACCTCTTGCTTTTCTAGGATGGATGAGTCCTACCACTCAAAAACAGATTATTTTAAATGTTTGAAAGTCAGCCCACAGAAGAGACTTCTTTATTGTGCATAGATAGTGCAGTTTAATATACTCAATTGGTAGCAGCCTTGAAAAATCATCATGAACGTTTAAAAGACTAGGTACAAAAATATTCTAACTCACATTTACCCTGACAACAATTTTGATATTCCTAAAACCAATAATCTTTTTAATATGAGAGTAAAAAAAGTATTTGCCTTGTGTGACAACAGAGCAGAATTTTGTCATTCCGCTAGATAGAGTCCTGTACATTTGTGGATATCCACTTTATATACATGAATATCTGTGGCTCGTTTTTGTAGATATGGATGCAGATGCAGATACAAATTTTGTATCTAGAAGCCTGCAGATTAGTGAGCATTTTTACAAATGCAGATACAAAACTTTGTAACAGCACAGGGCTCTACTAATACAAAGTAACACTCTTCTAAATGTCTGGAGACAGAATAATAATTATGGCAATGACTAGGCACAAAAAGAAAAATCCAGGAAGTGATTTAAACCTTAATTCTGAATGTCTTTGGTTTTAAGTTACTTTAATTTAAATCACAAAATTTGACTTCATTTTAAATACAGTAAACCATATTTATGCTTGGTAAAATATTAATGAAGTCAAATATTGTATCTGGAACAAATTATGGACCAAGTTTATGTGAGACCAAAATTATTAGATAAGAAATAATTAAAACATGTTCAAGTTCTTCTGTATAAGCTGTGTTATACATACTGAACTGCCTAAGATTACCTATAAAACAAAAGTAAACTAGATTTATTTTCCTATATACAGTAACTTGTTCTAATGATACCACCTGCCGGTGATAAGATGTGATGCACACACAATTTTTAAACTCTGAACATATTCAGCAGGTTGTGTGCAGTTGCATTCTGCTTTCAAAAAGTGCATTTAACTCCAAGTAAGGCTATTGGGAGTTATATGGGTATAATTAAGAATGTAACAAATGTCCAGTATAAATCTGAAATAACTGTTTCTGCGTTTCAATTTTTTTAACCTGAATTTCAAATTATCCTCAATTAAAAAAAAATCTAGTTCAGAGAAGAGGAAAAGAGCATAACAATAGCTTAATTAAAGAAGGGATTCGATGTAGTAAGGATTTTGTTTCTTCTCAATTTTTGAATTGAGTTCATATAGAAATAGGAAGTTCCAAATATATTAAGGACAATGTCAAAGATTCTAGTCCCATGATACACATCTGGGAAACTGGACTAGATCTCACTATAGCTAACTAATCCACTGATAAGACAAAAGACTATTTAAACTAGGGATATCAACATGTAGTCGACTACATAATTAACCGATAAGCCTAGACTTAACAGTTAATCTTGTCGACTACACGCACTCCCACCCTTACTGCCTCTTGTGCAAGGGGGGAGCAAGAGCTGGTGCCTGAGAGCTAGCTTTAAGCAGGCTCCCCACGAACACTGAATCTGCCTGCTCCCCGCCCCTACCCTTGTGCAGCTTCGTCTGATAGAGAGGCAGCAGCATGTAGGGTGAGGGGGCAATCTGGTGCTGATACAGAGACAGTGAGAGGAGACAGCAGGAGACGGTGTTGGGAGGAGCAGGCATAAAAGCTGGTTCTCTCCAGCATCAGCTCCAGAGTGCTGCCTGTTCCTCCATACCTCTGTGCTACTGCCCCTGTTCATGGTAGGTCTGCAGCAAGCCTGGATCCACTGCAGATAAAGGCTGGTCCACAGCAGCAACCCTTGTCCATGTAGGGTCCGAGCTCCCTGCGGACAGGGGCTGCTCCCTCAGATCAGTCTCTGTCCACAGGGATCTGAGTAGCTCAGTAGCTCCTGTCTGCAGCAGGTCTATCACCCCATTCTGCTGCCTCTGTATCAGAGGCAGCAGCATGGGAGAGGAGGCATCCAGTCTATGAGGAGCTAGTTTTTATACTGATAGAGATAAAACTGATAGAGGCGCAGCAGCATGCAGTGGCAAGGGGCATCCCACGAGTGGGGCCAGGAGCACGCTGGCTGCTAGCCCTACCCAAGAGACTAACATTTCACGCAGTTACACAGCTATTCAATTATACAATATCTAAAATCCCTAATTTAAACATTATGGGGCTAGAATATCCCCCAAAAATCAGTGTGTGGCAGCGTTCTTTTACACTGTATATATCACTGGACCTCTCATGTATGAGTGGGATAGTTAGCTGCCTCCAGTGGATCCATGATGCCACAGAAAAAGGGGACTGCTGTGACAGAGGGCTTCCATATAGATCCCTGGGAAACCTAAAGGTTAGGGACTGACTCTCCAGCTCATTTTATACAAGTGAAAAGGGTGCAAACCCCACCTGTCTGATGGCGATATCAGAAATTAACTCCATGAGAGGAAGAGCTAGTCCATGGTAAGCTATGGATACAATACAATTTAAATTAAATTAAACTAAACTGAAATGAATACACTTGGTGTTCATCAGTGCAATTCAGAAGGGCTTACATTCCCTTCACTGAGCTGATCATACTTTTAAACTGAAATACATATGACCTTTAAACAAAGCTTTATGAAAAGGAGGTTTAAAATTCTACAGAATTAATCAAAATTGCTCAACAGGGAAATTTGACAACATCTAGGATGGAAATGGTGTTTATCATCCCAGATAAAAATAAACATTTTTGCTTCAAACTATAGCTCAGTACTGTTATGCAATATATTATTTTACTTTAATTAACTCTCTTCAGGCATCATAAATATCTCTGTACCATCGAACCCGCCCCTCCCCCCCAGAAAGGGTCTATGTGAAACGATGAATGGAAGAGATGCTACAATAAGATAAGTGAGGAACAATTTCTAGCTTTGATTATATCGATATTTGCAATAAAAACTATACAACAGAAAACATACATTGTTGGATCGTAGAGAAACACGACCTCCACATCGGGCACAAAACTTGGTCCGGCAGTAAGAGCATAAATGGCCACAACCATCAGCAAACTTGGTTTTAAGACAGATTCCACATGTTGGTGCATCATCCTTGTGCTCTTCCTGGTAGCGGCGGGCTTCTTCACCTATTTTTCTTACTTGCTCCTTGTAGCTTTCAAATTGTTGATGCAATCTCCTGCACCGAAGAGAAAACAGTATAAAGCAAGTGCAAGACAAACTATTTGACTTTTGATTTACAACAGCATCTAATATTCAATATCAAGTTGAACTTCAAAGATTGCCCCACCAGTGCAAAAATTCAGATAAAAAAATCATATGAGTAAACTAACAGGAGCTAGTCAAAAGATGTCAGGTGAGTCATTTCTGTGACTAATACTGATTTCAAATATACAGTTGTGGATTATTAAAAAAAACCCCTCAGAGCGTACACATAAGTGTCTAACGAGTATGAAAGTTAAATCTAAAAATACATGTCAATATTTGCTTGAGAAAAGTCTCTATTATGATTTAAACTCATGGTGGTGAAGGTAACCCTGAAAATGTGAACCAGATGCTGGCTTTGAGTACACAGACCTCTTTAAATAATAAATATTTTTGAGAAAAATAAGGACTTCTATTGATCTGAATGAGATGGTGAATGAAGCTTAATTATGACAATTTAAAGTTCAATATTGTTAGCTCATTAAACCTGTCATGGCTCAATTCCCCAACCTGGCACTTTGAGTGTAGCTATGGAGGACGACTAGAAGAATAAACTCTGTAAGATCCTGTCTCTAACTCACAGAGACAAACTTGTCTGATTTCAGTTTCCCTAAGATCCAAGAAAAAATATTGCTGCAACCACCAAGTGTTAATTTGAATTTAAAAAGAAAAAAGAAAACCTTCTTACAGGGAATAGACCACTTGGGCAGCCCTTCCCTGAGGCAAAGTTCTCCCCACTCCCCCCAACCTCCATTTTACTTGGAATTTGGAAAACAACCTGGAATAATCCACAGAGAACAATGAGGCTCTGCTTCTCTTGGGTAATGTGGTTTAACTTAGTATGTAGGTTTAAGGACACAAAAATCAACTAATACCAGTTAACCAAAACAAAAAGAAAACACTTTTATTATTAAAATACAACTACTGATGCAAGCATAGTAAATGACTGGGTGTTAAAAGTCATGTGTTAAAATAGACCCAAGGAGAATCCCAGAGCTGTAATCCTTAATTACAAAAGAACAGAGAAAAACAATTATCCAGAAAAGACATGTTTCCAAACCCCCAAACAAGGAAAACAATAAAAGCCTAATGGGCTATCTAAACTTTTCCCTATGTACACATTTCAGGGAGTCTGTTCCTGAGAGAGTCCATCTCTCCTGCTACCTGGGGAAAAAACTTGCTGCTTGCTTCAAACAAAGGGGAAAAAACCCTCTTGTTTGAAATTCTTTATGTGCATTTCATTGGCTGAATGCCTAAAGCCCCCTCCCTTAGGTGCATCTCCAAATTAGCTTAACTCTTTCCATACTCTCCAGGTAAGCCAGATTCTCCTTTGCGGTTTCTCTTCATGACAAAACCATACAAGAACGGACATCTACTCCATCTACTGTGAGTAATAGCACATTGTACTGCCACAAGTATGAAAATATTTCATAGTGGAAACTAGGACAGCATCACTACTTATTTTTTTCCTCCATGTGATCTCTGGCTTTCTGTCTAATATAACTAGCATGGAAGTCATAGATCCCATATAAGTGTGAGTACAACACTACAGAGAAACATTTATAAAAGACAAGCATATTTATCCAGTGTTTCTCAGGTCCTTAAGGAGATCCTCAGGGCAGGGGCTAGAGGTTGAGGGGGGCAGGGGAAGGGAGGACTCTGGTCAGGGGACTGTGTGTGTAGGGGGATGGTCGGGGGAGGCTGCAGCCTCTCCCCCGAGATTCCAAGGCTGCTTTCTTTTTCTGTCCTTCTTGGGGAACAAAAGCAAAGTAGACATCTTGTTTGTTTCCTGCACTCCCCAGCCAGAGTGAGGAATGCAACAAACTGCATTTTCCCCTCACTCCAAGATGAAGGGAAATAGCAAAAAACGTCCTCGTATGAATGGGAGGAAGGGGGCCCCTATGTGTGAATGGAAGACTCAGGGCTGGGGGAAGTGTTGGGGGAGCACCCTGGCTTGGTGATTGTCTCTTTTCTGTATGACTTTATGAGAAACCCATTCTAGGCACATCTCATTTTCCTGGCACAACCAAACTCTTACCGTGTTTAAGTTATGATAAGAGGAAGAAGCTGTATACCAAATTTGCTGGACCTAGCTCTTACCATTTAAGAGGAGTTCTTGAACAAACAGACAAACACACACACAATTGTGCCAAAATATAAAATAGATAAATACCTCATCATCCTTACATAGAAAGCACATGCAAAATTTTCAGAATTTTGTACAGTTTTAAATAAATAACTCCATAAGAATGATAAAAATATGAGAAATCTAAATATCTTATTATTGGAACATTCTTATATTACAAAAATAAATGTGGCTGTCCATGAAAGCCTTGATTATTCTCTTCATCGCTATATCCTGTTTTGAGCTGGCTACTTTATCAACTAGCTTTGAGATCACACCCTTTAATGTATTTTAATTATATATCTGTCTCTTGAGGGAGTTCTACATTTGAGTGAACTTATTTCTTAGTTATAAATAGAACTCAATCTTAACTAGTAACAACCTTTCTTTAAACTAGTTGGATATTCTTCCTTTTTTAGACGCTATTCAAGTTTTGCAATTCACTATCCAATTCACTAAGAGATTGGCTACTGGAACTCTTGATAAAATACATATATTTGGTATTAAAAATGGTTGTCCGTAATTTTTGATCATAGAAAAACACAATCTTCACATCGGGCACAAAACTATTTAATAACTGATAAATAATTAACATCACCATATGTGACCAAAACATGTCCAGTTTTAGAGCTTCACTGGTTTCAAATACTAAAAGGGCTGAAAAAGAAAGAGTTGAATAAAAACCTTAGTTCTCAAGGAATACTGGCACATTTCTTGTTCCAATGTTTGACCAACTGTAAGAGTGAGCAAAGAATGATGTTCTCTGTACCTGTTTTTGCCATATGAGTGTAAGTGAAAGATGGAATTCAAGAATAAATCCATCAGGAATTGCATTAATAATAGTCACCTTGCTAGGACACCATTCTTATAAATAAGCATAAGGAAAAAAAGCAAAGTTAACCTTGTTTTATTTTCTTTCTCTCTATATAAACATTATACAATGTATTATGTGTTTTGTGTTATTGAAAAATCCAGCTGTAACACCAAAGACTTATTTTTGCTAAACCGCTTAAGCAACATTTGCAATGTTGGATTAGATAAAAGAAAAATGGGTCAAGAGTATTAGGGAAAATACTGAAAAACAATACTAATAGTGGTTACACTTTTGGATTTCACCTTTGGTATATAACTACTTTTATTAAAACAATGAGGAATCCTGTGGCACATTCACGACTTAAAGATTTATTTGGGCATTGACTTTCATGGGTAAAACCCACTTTGCTGATACCCAGTTTGCTGATGCCGCGTTCTTTTTACAAACACAAACTAACATAGCTACCCCTCTGATATTTTTTATTAAGCAACTAATGTCATTGTTCACATAAAGCTTCCTAATGAGACCCATTTAAAATGTTAAGGAAGATAATCAGTTATCCAAATTATTACAAGAGTAACATAAGTAAATCAATTATTATACAAAATGTATCCATCAAGAATTTTTCTTAATGTTAGTTCATTTGTGACCAAATTGGCTTTACTGCACCAACTATACACTTCCTACCATAAAAAATGTCCATAACTGCATATTGAGAAGCCTGCCAACAGGGGGGAGAAAGAAGGAAGTACTAAAGAGTAGGGGTTGTGCGACACTCCGGGCAGCGCTGAAGGCTGGTTGCCCTCACCCTGCTCCTTTCGGGACCAGGTGGCTGGTCTCCCACACACTTTGCTCAAGCTCTGGTCTACATTAGGAAGTTATTTTGAAATAACCCACCTTTATTTCGAAATAATAAGTGGAGTGTCCATGCTACCACGCCTGTTATTTTGAAATCTTTACTCCTGCTTTCCTCTAGGAATAACGCTTATTTCAAAATAGAGTTAGTGTGGACACTCCAATGCTGCTATTTTGAAATAACTACTCCCTAGAGTAATTCAAAGTAATTATTCCCCAGTGCTTCCTGGGGCTCTAAGTCCACGATAACAGAGCCTGCCTCGGACTAATTTTGAGACTCCCCCATAATGGGGACATGGTATTTCAATGTTGTTATTTTGGGAGTTATTATTTTGAATTTAATTATTTCAAAATAATTTCCTAGTGTCCCAAGGGTCGGCAGTGGCTTTTGGCTCCACTACACACAGATAGAAAAAACATAAAAATGACTGAGGCTACAAAATGCAGACTCACTGAAAAACATGAATCTAAATTTGGGTGAAAGAAAATGAGTAGTTTTTGAAGTATAAAATAGTTCATTTTCCCCGTGTATTAGCAAAGTTTATTTGTTTTTGTTTCATATCAAGACAGTGTTTTCTTTAAGGGGATACCAAATGGTAGACACACGTGGTGTATCAACTGCAGCTCTTGTTTGGGATTCCTTTCTTGGCTCATTCCAAGGGTTGATCTTGTGAGACATGCATGTTGGCAGACGAGCACTTTTCATTTTATAGAAACTACGGGTACACATCTTATAAAATTCACATGTGAGATCCCACACTCCCAGCCTCTTTACTCACCACTCTGCTGAGATCCTGCACCACCAGCCTGCTTACTCATACCCCCCCAGCTGAGACCACGCCAGCACCCGTCACCATCCAGCTGAGATGTCACACCCACAGCCTGCTCAGACCACCCCTCCACTGAGATCCCCCCCACGACCCTCACTCATACCCCCCAAGCAAAGACCCTGCAATTCCAGCCCCTTCACACATACCCTCCACTGAGATCCTGAAAATCCAGCCCACTTCTGCACCCTCCGCCATCCAGAAACCTACTCCCACCCTGCTCCTGTACCTCCCTCTTGGCCAGACACCCTATCCCCAGCCTGCTCCTGCATCCTACCTCCCACACAGACCTTACACCTTCACCCGTCCTGCACCCCAGCTCCTGCCCAGATCCTGCACCCCCACTGCTATCC